CCAAGAACAAATAAAACAAAAATCAACCTGGTCAAAAATTGCAAAAGCTAGGAGTTTGTGAAGAATTAACAACAGACTACCTGGTTAATAGGTTGTCTAGTTTATTCTTCTCTCTTCTTGAACTAAGTTTAGCAATGCCTTTCCTTGTGCTCATTAACTAGAATCATAGACTTTTACAGTATAGTGTCTATACTGGCTCCTGACAGAGCTGCCCAGTTCGTCCTATTCTCCAGCCCTATCTCCGTAGCCCTCGACAATTAATTACTTGCAAATATATATGCAGATCTTTTTTGAAACATCCTCTGGAATCCGTCACCACCACTCTCCCAGACAGAACATGACAAATCTAAACAAATATAAGTAATTAAGTTTCTCCTCATCTCACTCCTAGCTTTTTTGCTGACAATCTTGGAATTGTGACCCCTAGTTACTGACACAACCAACTAGTGGAAACAGAATATCCTTCTTTATCCTGTCAAAATTGTTCATAATTTTGAACATCTCAATAAGGTCACCTCTTAATCTTTTCTACTCCAAGGAGAATAAGCCCAATTTCTCTCAACTTTCCTTATACCTAAAATTCCTCATTCCTGGTATCATTCTCATAACTCTCCTTTGCACTCTCTCCAGGCTTTAACGTCCATCCTTAAATAAGGTGCCCAGAAATGAATACTCCAAATGTGCTCTGGCCAAAGATTTGTAGAGGCGTAGCATCACTGCCTTACTTTTATGCATTTTCAATCAACCTGCTCAAGTTCAACTTTTAGACCACTAAAATCTGCCCTTTTCCAGTCTGTGATCTACCCTTCACTGATGTTTTAAAGAATCTTTTCCAATTTAATATTAAAACTTATTGTATTATGATTGCTATTTCCCAAATGCTGCCCTCCTCTGACATTCTCCATTTGTCTATCTCATTTCCTAAAACCAGATCCAGCACAGCTCCTTCCCTGGTAGAATTGGAAACGTATTATTCCAGAAAGTTCTCTTGCACACACTGCAGGAATTTCTCCCCTTCCGTGCCTCACACCCTTCCCTTTTCTTAGTCAATCCTATGGTAATTGAAATGACCAACTTTCAGAACCATACTTGTCTTCCATATTTCCATAATCTGCCTACAAATGCTCTCTTCTACTTCCTCCCCACTATTTGGAGGTCTATAATAAATATCCAACAAGGTCATTGCTGTCTTCCTATTTCTCAGCTCCAACCATATAGATCTTAATTCAGGAACTGAACTGCTCTCATTAAAGGGCTATGATACTATCTTTGACCGTGACAGCCACATTTCCTCATTCTTACCCACCCTATTTCTACTAAAAGCCTTATAAACCAGAATGTAGCTTGAGCTACATTTCTGTCAATGCTACAATGTCATAACCCCACAGCAACTTCTGCTTCCAGTTCCCCAATTTTATTCATTACATTCCGTGCATTTACATACGCACAATTTAACCCTGCCCTAATCTCTTTCTTGCCCATTGTAAGGCGACTATTTGTTTATTCACTGTCAACACTCAAGCCTTCCCTCACTTCCTTTTCCCTGTTCCCCCATGTCTTCTGTGGTACTTCCAAAACTAGGTCCAATAGGCAACCACCCCCAACTACAGGCAAAAACTTTGGTGTAGAGTCAACTTGTGTCCACTCTGGCAAAATCCATCCACAGTCTTACTGTAATGATAAGTCTCATCATATTTCTGGGATGTCCATAGTCGTGGGTTATCCTAACAGTCTATGGGATGATTCTGGTGCACAAAATAATCCAACTCCCAGTTAGGAAAATTTCCTTGGCATTCAAGTCACCAGTTCCCCTGACTTTACTTATGAATGGTGCGAATGCTAAATTTGGAGAGGACAGAATATAAGAGGTGTTAGTAGTAACTTATACCTCTTGTGGGTACTGCCAAGCCATTGTTAGAATGCAACTGGCAAGGATGTCATTACAAAATATTCTTTGCCTTGTTATCCCTCCCTCTAACCTGTTGTCAAATGCATGCAATGTGGTCTCCTGTGCCCAACGCTTTTATGTCTTCAAGGCACCATCAGATGGCCTTGTGCCAAAGACGCCTCTGATTTTGTTTGTATGTCACCAGGCAACAGAGGTAAACAGTGGAGCAACTTAAAAGCATGTCAATGGCATCCTTGTTTTTTATGAGTATAATTGGTTTGAAACATTTTAAATTTATCCCAGTTTGAACATTATAGCAGGCTGAATAATATTCAGATGGTACCCTTGGATTAATGATAGTTACCAACAAAGTAATGTACAATGCTGAGGAATTAGTATTTTGAAAGATCAATTTGTAGAACAAATCAGCCAACCCTCAATTCTGCTTTTACAAATGATTGGGGGTGTCAAGCGATGCCATAAACTCTTTGGGGCCTTCAACAAGCCAATGGAATAATGGACAGGAAGCCTGTCGCATGTTTGGGTATCTTGTAAAGGCACCCTCAATATCATTCCCTGAATCAACACCTTCAAAACCAAACTGGCCATTATCTCACTGCTGTTTGTGGGAGCTTTCAGGGCAAAAACTGGTTGCCATACTTCCTACATGACAACAGTGACCACACTTCAATGACTATTTTAATGACCGTAAAGTGCTCCTAAGGCAATGTGAACTTGTGCAAAATAAAACATTATGCTTTTATTGTTTCTTTCCTTCTTTCGGCATTATTCAGCCAACAGGTCAGCATTATTATTACGGCTGGCACGGTGGCTCAGTGGTTAGCACTGCTGCCTCACAGCACCAGGCACCCAGGTTCAATTTCAGCCTTGGGCGACTTGTCTGTGTGGAATTTGCACATTCTTGCCGTACCTGCATGGGTTACTTCCAGTTTCCTCCCACAGTCCAAAGATGTGCAGGTTCAGTGGATTGGCCATACTAAATTGCCCACAGTGTCCAGGGATGTGCAGGTTAGGCAGATTAGCCATGGTAAATGTGGGGTTACGAGGATGGGGTGGATCTGGGTCATAGAATGCCCTTCGGAGGGCTGGTGTGGACTCAACGGGCCGAATGACCTGCTTCCACACTGTAGGGAATCTATGGTACTGTTCAGAGGGAACAACCCAATATGACTTGGCTTTTCTGACATAGATCTGAAGATAACTCATGCACTGAGATGCTGATCTGTGTTCCAGCTCACAAGAAAAACATATTTACACAGGCCAACTCACTGCTACTTGAATCTTGCCCTGTTGGTCAATTATGAGACTGCAGTAAAATAACACAAGAAGAGAACTGTCAATCCATGGGAGCATTAATGAATATACCGTGGTGACTGGTACATAAATGGGAAAAATATTTTTTTGAAATAGAATACATCCTATGGCCCCTAAATTACATCGGTTCTATTCTTAGTGGTTAAAAAGAAACCTACAATAACTCATTAAACACATGGAGGCCCTGTAAACATAAATACCCATGTGACAGCTTCAGAATTTCAGGAACAGAGGAGCTGTATCAGTGGAAGCGACAAAACTTGCTATTTTTTTAAATCTGTCTGCGTTGACTCTGCTTAGAATTCCATTACCCTCTTGGTGTCCATGACCAATGACCCATGTCGTATATAGGTCAGAGTATGATGATGGAAATTATCATTAGTTCCAGCTTTTCCCTTTTGGTATTCAATAAAGCTCAGAGAAACAGCAGTGATATTATCCAAACCAGTCAAGATTTTTTTATTTTTTTCTATGAAAAGAAACTGAAACCATGTTTTAATGGGCTCTAGAATACTGATCAGCAGTAATGCTAGGGAGCATTGCTGGAGGATGAGAATCGTTATACTTTTCTTCAAAACTGAATTTGACCTCTAATTTGTTGCTGACCCACACAGCTCTTCTTTCAGTCAATTACACTGCTACATATTTTAGACATTAGGAAATACCACATACTGATGTTTCCATATCTATATAGAGTAATGTTTCCTTTATCATTAAGATTCAGAAATGGAAGAAGCAGACAGCTAGTCTTCTTTCTTACTAGAAGTCTAGTTTACTAGCTACGTACATGCCAATGTCTGCAGTTTACACACACATCAGCAGTTCAAGCTCCGTGGTCTTGGAATAGTAGCATGAGATGAGCAGTGACGAGCTGTTGTTTTACTTTCCATTGACTTCACTCAGATACGGTACAAATCATACAACTGGTTCCTTATTGTTTGGTGCCACCACCAAAGAGTTTGTATCCTTCTGTAAGTAATAACAAAGGTAGGTGTATAGGAAGGTTAGGAAAGTAATGCAGAAGGTAAAAGCCTAAACAGAAGGGAGAATTGACTGCCAATGACACTTAAAGAAATAAATAAATAAAAGAATTTTTTAAAAAGGGGGCTACCAATTCATTTTCACTGTTCAACATTAAAATTGACCTTACTTTCTCTTTCCTGACCTAGAGAGCTCAGCCCTTTATAAATTCCAGTCCCATTCAAAACACGGTTGCCTGTATCATCTTCATCTCCAAGTTCTAATTACTCAACACCATTCTCTTCACTGACCAAGTTTTACACCCAGCTCTACAACACATTAAATTTCAAGTTCTTGTACTTATTTTTAAATCCATTTATGGCCGCGACCTTCCCTATCTTACTAACCTCCTCCAGTCCCAAGCAATTTCCAAATTAAAATTACTCCGTGAAATCTGGCAGATTGGTGCAAAAAGCTCCAAATGGTTGACTAAAGTTGTTCAGATTGGAGATCCCACCATTGCCTCATGATACAGCCCTACTCCTTCTCCTTTGGCAGACCCCCGGGACTGACAATGACCTGTCTCCACACTGATTCAACGGGTTGAGACAAGGGTGATAAGTCCAAAGCTCAGTCTCAGACTGGCGTGTGTGTGTGTGTGTGTGTGTGTGTGTGTGTGGGGGGGGGGGGGGGGGGTTGGTGGATAGATGGCCTGTTTAGAGATTTGTGCACTTCTTCAAATGCTTAAGCTTCAGCTTGGAGAGACTATGTCGGCAATGCACAACGTATTTGGTGCCTTTCATTAATTAAGCCTCACCATTTTGACAAGTCACGAACCAGGGACTCTCATGAGCTTGTTTGGCCTCTTCAGGGATCCTTTGAGGACATTCCTGAAGCATGTGGTACCGTCAACGGATCACTCCACTCTCATAATTCAAGGGTGATTCTTAATACGTTCTGAAGTTGTCTGAAAAGTCACTCAGTAGTGAAGATAAACCGCTGCTAAAAAAAAATACAAGGACAAATGAAAAAGAAAAAGACAATTGCTACAAGATTTCTACAGTGCTATTGTGCACTTTGAAGATCAGGCATCAGGTTAGCTAAAACCAAGAGCTTCCACATAAAAGCATCCTCACAGTAATAGATGCTCAATCAAAACATCCAACTCACAGTCCCCTCAAAATAAGTTTCATCCATATTTTTCTCCTTCCTTGCACAAGGTGCTAACTCTTGAAAAGGAGCACATCCGCAGACACATACATCACTATGGTATCTCATCCAAATGGCCATTCTTCATGTAGTGCATGTGAAAAGCATCAAGCCTGACCTTGAACCTATTTTCACATAACACCCACATTTGTGCACAAGGCATGAGGTTATAAGCAAATTCCCCATAAGGACGGGTGGGTAGGAGCACTCCTAAAAAATCAGTTAAGACATTTACCGGGGTCTCTATCCGAATTATGACAGAAAAGCAAGAGAATCCAGAAAATTCAGCTGATTTTCCCCTCCTTTAATCAGGTACACTGCTGCCAGTTACATAACTACCTCCCCAGCAGAGATGAGCTAACTCAGGACAGAGCTGGGAATGAAGCCAATAAATTGCAGACTCTGCTGACTCAGTTCCAGAAAATTGTCTGACTCACTGGGGCAAAACCTTTTTTTTTTACAAAATATCAGTATTTACAGTGTTATGGAACACAACATCTCACATTCTGGCACTTGCACCTTTTACATCCACAAATAATCTTGGGACAGATACAGCACTAGAGTGATCTACAAATAGCTTGATTATTTTCTTCTGCCAAAACAGTGCTGCAGCCTGAAAATCACATTTCTCTTTATTAGTGATGAGTCATTCCAGAAATGTAATGTTTTTAGTTCATGCTTAATATGGCTTTGCAGCATTTTTATTTTTCTGTGTTTTTCAGATATCCTGCATTTTTCCAAACTTGGAAGTATTACTGTATACATTTCTCCAAGAACACCCTCGTTTCTTAGATAGGGTACTGTGCAATGAGAAAGCAATAAATGCAGTTGTGAGAGATCCCTTGGGGATGAGCAACCATAATGTACTAGAATTCTTCATCAAGATGGAGGGTGAGGCAATTGATTCTGAGATGAGGGTCCTGAATCTTAATACGGGAAATCTATGATGGTGAGTCCTGATGGATTGGGAAATGTTACTGAAAGGAATGACAGTGCATAAGCAATGGCAAACATTCAAAGAATGATTTGGTGGACTACAAAAATTGTTTATTCCTTTCTGGTGCAAAAGTGCAAAGTGAGTAGTGGCCAACCCATCTCTTACAAGGGAAATTAGAGATAGTATTAGATGCAACAAAGAAGCACACAAATTGGCAAAACCTGAGGATTGGGAACAATTTAGAAGTCAACAAAGAAGGAGGATGGGATTAAGAAGGGGAAAAGAGTATGAGAGTAAGCTTGTGGGGAACATAAGAATTGACTATCAAAGTTATATAAAAGGTATGTAAAGAGAAAAAGATTGATGAAAACTAAAAAAAAATCTGTATTAGTAGAGAAGTGATGTTGGAGAAATTGATGGGATTGAAGGCCGATAAATCTCCAGAGCCTGATAATCTACATCCCAAGGTACTTAAGGAAGTGGCGCTAGAAATAATGGATACATTGGTGGTCATCTTCCCAGGTTCCTTAAACTCTGGAACAATTCCTATAGATTAGGGGGTCACTAAATTAACTGCACTATTTAAATTGGGAGACAGAGGCAAAACAGGGAACTATAGAACAACAAGTCTGATGTTGGCAACAGTGAAGATGCTCGATCCACTATCAAGGATTTTACAGCAGGGCACTTAGAAAACAGGGACATCATGCGTCACAAACCAACTGGTATTCTTTGAGGATGTAACTAGTAGAGTTCATTGGGGGCGCCAGTGGATGTGGTTTATTTGGACTTTCAGAAGGCTTTCAAAAAAGTCACTGCAGCAGGCTGCAAAGAAGGCAAACTGTATTATGGCCTTCATAGTGAGAGGATTCAAGTACAAGAACAAGGAGATGTCTTGCTGCTATTATAGAGGGCACTGGGGAGGCCACGCTGGGAATACTGTATGCAGTTTTTGGTCTCCTTATCTGGACAAGATTGTTGCTGCTATAGAAGGAGTGCAGCGAAGGTTTACTGAATTGATTTCTGGGATGGCAGGACTGACATATGAGGAGAGATTGCATCAGTCAGGATTGAATTCACTGGAGTTTAGAAGACAAAGGGGAGATCTCACTAAAATCTGTAAGATTCAAACAGGACTAGACAGGTTAGAAACAGGAAGGATATTCCGGTCCCTTTTCAATATTAATTTCTGTGTCATGGTTATCTTGATGACTATTATTCTTTGTTAATTCCTCCTTTGTCTTTTTCTCTCCTCCACAGCTGCCTTTTCTATGTCTCCCACTCTCCTTTCTGCTATCAGTCTTTTAGTCCAGGGCAGCCATTCAAATGCAAAGTGCAAGGAAATCTATTTCCAGCATCCAATGAGAATGTAACCTTCAGTCCCAAAGGTGCTACATTGAACTGTTACAAGACATTAATGACATTCAATTCTGCCCAGCAAAAGAAGAGGAGTTTAATGCAAATTTTTGATAGGTCAGTTCAAAGGGCAGCATGATGGCTCAGTGGTTAGCACTGCTGCCCCACAACGCCAGGGACCCAGCTTCGATTCCAGCCTTGGATGGACTTGTGTGTGGACTTTGCACACTCTCCCCATGTCTGCATGGATTTCCTCTGGGTGGTCTGGTTTCTTCCCACTGTCCAAAGATGTGCAGGTTAGGTAGATTGGCCATGCTAAACTGTCCGATGTCCAGGCTAGATGGGATAACCATGGTGAATGCAGGGTTACAGGGACAGGGTAAGGGAGTGGGACTGCATGGGATACTCTTCAGAGGGTTGGCTGGAATCAATGGGCCGATTGGCCTGTTTCCACATGGTAGGGATTCTATGACAATGGGAGAGAAGATCAATGGATGCTCCTTATGGTGGGGGAGCCTAGAACCATGGATCATATTTTAAGGATAAGAGATAAATCTTTTAGGGCTGCCATGAGGAGAAATTTCTTCACCCAGAGTGTGGTAAGTCATCAGTACAGAAAGTGGTTGACCACAGAACATAATGTGTTTTAAAGAAGGAGTAAATATAGCTCTTATGGCTTAAGGGATCAAGGGACATGGGGGGAGGCTGGGATTTGCGTATTGAACTCAATGATCAGCCATGTTCATAACGAATGCTGGGGCAGGCTAGAGGGGCCAAATCGCCCACTCCTGCTCCTATGTTCCTGCGTTTCCACCTGTAATTCACCAATGTTATCAGTGTCTTATAGCTAGGATATTACAAGATGCTCTCTCACTGGTAATCTTACACACTTCAATCTCAATCTCAATTTATTTACAAAACGGAATCCTTTCGATGCCTTTCATTTTTCCTGGTCATACGATTCCTCCACTGCTCACATAATAGGCCAGAGAAAACTACAACTACATTCCAATATCAGGCATTGACTTCTAGTCCCAGGTTCCATCTGAACACACGGAGGTTGTGGATGGGTGCTGTTTGGTTGTCCACCTGAGAGGCAGGCAAAGATGAGAGAGGCCTATTGGAGGGAAGATGTGCTTGGAACATCAGTTGCAGGGACAGGCAAGTTATTCCACTTTGTGGCTTACTGACTTAACAGAACTGGGCTTTCCTCTGGCACATCAACAAGGCTGTAGACTTCCAGGTTGATGGAAAGGCAGAATTCCTTACTACAGAGGGAGGGTCCCAGAAGAAAATAAAAAGTAAAAAAAAATCTAACATTTGGAAATGAATGTACTTGTCATATTGGAAATCTGAAGTTTAAAGGGAAAACACTAGCAAATAAATCAGGATCTGAGCCCACATTTCAAATTGAGATCCAATTTTTACCAATTCTGATGATGGGTGACTTTTGTAGGTGCTGACAGGTCTTTTGTGCATTTGCAGAACTATTCCAGGATTTTTCCATTTCAATAAAACAAGTGCAGAATCACATAGCTACTTGTAAAGTGAATTGGAAAGAATCAAAAACGAACGAAGCCGAACTCAAAAATTAAGCAGAAGCTGGTGGTTACTTTGCAAGCATTCCCACAGCAGTAATATTTCAGAATGATCAGTTGTGTAACTTCAGCAATTGGACAGTTAGATACAAAATTCATTCCTATTGAGTGAGGACAGACGTATCTGTCCATTTGCTAACAATGTTCCCTTTGCAGTGCTCGCTTAGAAAATATTTCAGCTTGCGCTAGCTCTTTCTTTCAGAAAAACAACAGTGGAAGATTTTCTGGATGTACGTGGTTTCATACTATTCACGCTTTTTACTTGCTGCTACTTGGTAACTTGCGAAAATAACAGACATACATTCTGCTACACTTCATAAAGGAGCATGCAGACTGAGGGATGCAGCACACAGGAAAGTACGGAATCTGAACAAAATTGAAGGGTCTAGGCCCGAAACGTCAGCCTTTCTGCTCCAATGATGCTGCTTGGCCTGCTGTGTTCATCCAGCCCTGCACCTTGTTGTCTCTATTCATTGCAGATGGGATTCAAAGAACATGTCAATAGAAAATGACTGAGGATTTTCAATTTCAATTTACTTAACTCCTTTGAGGACAATATTGAAAGACGTAATGATTTCTCATATATTTTCACCACGGATATTGAAACATGCTTCTGTAAATTTCCAATGGCATGTAACACAGGAGAACAGAATAAATACTTAGATGTGCAGAAATAAGGTAGATTTGAAAACTGGACTAGCAAATAGCCCACATAGTCAAGAGCACCCAATGTTCTTCAACTTCTCACGTTCAGTCCTGTCACAAATTCTTCCCCATAGATAAGCACCAATTATAGCTCTGTCATATCTTTCAATAATAATTTCTATGTCTCAATAAAAGGATTACTGTATCTTGATTACTATTACGCTTTGTTAATTCCTCCTCTGTTTTTCTCTCTCTTCCATTGCTGCATTCTCTACATCTCCCACTCTCCTTTCTGCCACGAGTCTTTTGGTTGAGGGCAGCCATTCAATTGCAAAATGCAATGATACCCATTTCCAGCATCCAGTGAGAATGTAACCTTCACGTATGTAACCAAAAGGTGCTACACTGAATTCTTACAAGATGTTAACAGCATTCAATTCTACCCAACAGAGGAGGGGCTTAATGCAAAATTTTCAATAGGTCACACAGGACAGTTCGGTGGTCAATGAAGAGAAGATCAAAAATTACAGGTAGTTGGAGAAAACTCTCAGAGATGCTGAGGCTCCTTGTTTAACTATATTGTCAAACTGAACTGTTTTTATGCAAATTACAAAATTGGCCTCAGCTAACCTCTGGGAGCTGCGGGAGCTCAGAGGAAGCCCTGAGCCATTAATAGCTGAGTAAAACAGAGTGGAGTTGAAAAGCCCACAAAGCAACATTTACTGGATGACACCAAGTAAGTTTACAGTTCAGAAAAAATCCAGGGGAGTACTGACACAGTGAAGCTCGCTGGAGCTGTGCCTGTGCCTGTGAGAGTGCACTGTTTCTGGAGTCTGAGGAAGTAAACCCAGGGAAGGAGGGTCTTTGACCAGAACAGGAGCAATTATTGAGTCAGTCCAAGGTGGAGTGGTGCACGAGAAGGAATTTCAAGATCAGATCGGCAAAGTGAAGAATTGTGATCTTTTGTGAAGTTTAATGAGATTTAAGAACCGAGAGTGGCATTAGCATCTGGGAGGAATTGCTCAGAAACATGTGGGATCTGTCGTGAATGCATTTGCTGTTTGATATGCTCTGTGGGCTGTTTGATCACAGTCTCTTACCATATTTACCTTACGTGCAGGGATTAGAAAGAAGTTGTATTTGTATTGTAGGTTGTATTACCTTTCTAATGTTGTATCATACATTTTAATGTTGTTTGTTGAAAACCGTGGAATCTTGTTGCTTTGTTCTCTCAGCAAGTCTCCTGAATCTCACAAAATAAAACAAAGAACTGCAGATGCTGAAGATCAGGAACAAAACAGAAATTGCTGGAGAAACTCAGCAGGTGTGGCAGCGGCTGTGGAGAGAAAGCAGAGTTAACATTTTGAGGCAGTTCTGAAGAAGGGTCACTGGACTCGAAACGTTAACCCTGTTTTCTCTCCACAGAGGCTGCCAGACCTGTTGAGTTTCTCCAGCAATTTTTGCTTTGTCCCTGGATCTCACGTTTTGTCTATTTTAAATTAAACTTTATTGCTCCATGGCATGATTGTAACTGAGATTTACCGGTCTCGTCCAGAATTGTGAAAAGGTTTCACTTCATTTTTATACCAGTTATCATCTCCCCAATGACGCCACGAAACACTGAAGAGCTGCTGGCTTTCAAATTGTTGGCAGCCCTTGGTGAGTGGCTCTTCTGTAACCCCTCTCACCCTGGTCCTTTATACTGGGAAAGCCTGCCACTTTATACCTCAAGAAGAACCTCAGTAAGCCCTCCTGGAAATAGGTGGCCAGCTGTCCAGTCTCCTTGGAATAGGTTGCCTGTATAGATCAGAGCCCTTAAGAAGGGAAAGATATATATTGTGACCTAGAGTGGAATCTTGTCGCTTTATTCTCTCAGCAAGTCTCCTGGATCTCACAAAAATAAAACAAAGAACTGCAGATGTGTCAGTGATGTGTTAGTGTTACTGTTAATCCCAGATCAGAAATGTTGGGATGGCACCATGAAGAGGTTACTTAAAGTTGAGTACATTAAAGCTCAGCTGCATGATAGCTCCACAAAGAAGGTATCTGCAGTTCCAGTTGAAAAGCTGAAATCACCTATGAATTAAAATTACCAAGGTTTTAGATGCAGGGTCTTTGATGTGAATATTGTATGAGTGTTTTTTTTTGGATACTCTACCAGGGTTTGGCTGCTACACAAAAGCCATTTCATTTATTTTTATGAAAGAAAAGTGTGTTTTGGGACTAATGGGATTATACTTTCGCAGCATGCTCAGAAATCTCTGAAGCTGGGTATCCTCAATCCACAGATACAAAGACTGAAAAGACCTAAAAACCGAAGATATTTTCGGACGTGTGCTCATCAAACAGGCAGACTCAAGAAGATTAAAGATCCAATGTCTGGGACTATTTTTAAAAGGAGGAAATTTGGTGACAAAACTACAGCATTATAGGGCATGGGAACGTTATCAGTGCCTACCAGACTACAATGCCTTCAGCAGTGAAGGTGATAAAAGTAGTTTGAAATCAAGAGTAACGCTTATGGTAATTAGGCTGTATATAAAAACCAAAATTATCCGATTTCTGAAAAACCGTTGGTCCCAAAGTTTCCAAATAAAGGATATTTGACTTGTATTAGTAGTTGGTCTGGTTTGTTCAATTTTATCTTTATTTCTTTTGTAGTATATTTCTGTCTAATTGTTAAAGCAAAATCCACAGCATTGCATGCTTGTGTTTCAGCGAGAAACAGTTTTGTTCAAACCAAAACCAAATCCCAATATGATCTACCGAGCCAGTTTCCTGTCTGGGATCAGACTTGTCTGGTAAGATAATCAGATTGGATCATAAGAACATTCAGAAGTCCTCTGATATCTTATCCAAGTGACCATAATTTGTATGTGTAACTGGAGGGGACATATGAAAGATCTGCAGTCAAAATCCAGTGTTCCTCAATTAATCACCCACATATGGGCATTTACTGTCAGTGGAAAATGAACCTTGCTGAATCATCTTCTCTGTAACCCAGATGTGATTCGGTTCTGAAGAAGTCATATTCTACCTGAAACATTACCTGTCTCTCTCTCCACAGATACTGCTTAACCTGCCAAGGACATCAAACATTCCCTGTTTTATTTCAAATTGTCAGTATCGCAGTATTTTGTTTTTATTATACTCAGTGCTTGTATAATTGTTGTATCACGCAATGAGCTAATTCAGCACACAGTTCCTAAGTTTGAAATTAACTGCTTTCCAGCTGTTACATGCATATACATTACACACTGCTTTCTTCATCACTCTAATAGAAATGTTTTTAATTTTAATGTTGGAATTATTTGTGCTTCCTCAGAATGAAAAGAAATGACTACCCCATAAGCAGTCACTGGACTATGCAAAATCTTGCCTCATTCATCAAATGTGCAAGCAACATGATCACATAATCTTAAACGCTCTGAATTTAACCTGAGGCATTCAACCAATCATTCAACACAGAGCAGGCCTCCACATCACAGCAGAACAGGCTTCACAAAATGTACTACAGAATTAGTTTCAATATTGTCCACGTGTTATTATTTATAACAGGGCGACATATTCCTAGATTGTTATAAACAACTCATAGTTGTAATACCCATAATACTTATTTAACATTAACCAGAAAAATGGCATTTACATTCCAGAATTCAACTTGACTTTTTATTTTCAGAGTATTTGAAAGAAAGTTGATTGGAGCCCTATAAATATTGAAAGCTGCATGGAATGCCTTGTGAAAAAACACATTTGTGCTTAGAATCCCAAAGTAAACTGCATAAGAAAGTTTTCCTTCGCTTTAAGACAAGACAATGGAAAATCTCAATGAGCAGGGCAGTACTTTGTTAAAATACTACAGGCTAGGAATGTCTCAGATTTGAACCGCTTGCCCGTGCTTTCAACTAATCTCAGCCAAATTAGCAATAAGAGTTTCATAATCCATTTCTGTTCCCTGTCTCCAGATTAGGAGAGGGTAAATCCGTCAAAGATTCTACTTCGTCTTTCATAACAATACCTCCTGCTGGGTGCTGGCACCTGAGTGGAAGGTATTGGGTTCCAATGTGATAGAGCTCACTGTCTGTTAGCTTACTCCCTTTCACAATCATAACTCACACATAAACAATAAATATCTGAGCAGGTACTGCAAGAAGCCGAAGAACAATACCAAACAGTATCCTCAAAGGGGAGGCAGTGACAATTATGGAGAGCCATACAAGCTTCACAAAACATAGATCTACCACCCAACATTTGGTGTGAATACTTCCTGCTCCACATTATAATATAGTAACCTACATGCTCCCTTTTAAGAGCACATTCTGTGCAGCAAATTGTTCATAATGAGTTGAGTGGGGACAGATTAAATACTAGCAAATCCTGTAACTTAAAAAGCAATGGCTAAATTTGTTGCAGACTAGCAGCCTGCTCCCACATTTAGACTGATTCTTGTTCATTAAAACTGGCAACTAGCACAGAAATTATTTCACCAAAATATGTTATTTGATCTTTATATTCCATTCCTTAATCAAAGGAGCTAAATTGAACTATAAACTAGTCAGCATACAAAAGAAGACATTTGAATCTTGAAGCTACAAATCTTATTACCTAAGTAATATTCTCATCATGTTACTATTAAACCATTAGTGAAAGGCTAGCAATGGGAAAAGGATTGATGACTGATCTTATAAGCTGTATCTATCTCGCTAACTCTTTGTGGAACTTCTGAGGGTCACTGATCTCGGTGTGTTATGTTTACTCAAAACCAGGCTTTAATGGGTGTTCTCTTGTTAAATTTCAAAAAAGGATGTGATAATATTCACCTTTCAACTGATTTGAATACAATGGTATCTCAATGGGAAAGCCAAGGAAAAGACACTCTCAATAAACAAGTGACCTTATATAGGATTTCAGTCCAAACTCATGGAATAGCCAGCTCATGTGACAAATGACAAACCACTTAATAAATGTTTACCAATTACAATAGGCACATTCTTACCTTTTAAGAAAACAGCTTACCAACTCCCCGAGACCTCAAGCGGCAAGTTTTATATAGTCCTGGTCCTCTGACCTCTGAGTTATGTGACTGCAACCTGAGCAACTAGAGATGTGTTACAATTAATTTCAGAGAATACCCCTTCCCCAGTCACTGCGCTGCGAACATGGCTGGAGGGTTTATGCACAAGTAGGAGGCATGGACTGCAATGTATGTATGAGCACTGGCTCCCACGGTGGGACATCAGAAATGGAACCAGGAAATCAAGAGCCGCAAGCTATCAACAGCAGGCACTTTGCGGAAACAGTGGAGGAAAATAAAGAGGGATTGGGACATCTTGAAAGGAAAAATATCCTGAAATGTGTTATTCTTTACAAATCAAAGATGTCTGTGTTCAAATGATGCAGTGATTCTGGGGGAATATGGATATTGCCACAATAGGAAATCTGGGATATAACCCTGTTGTGAGATAGTAAGAACTGCCGATGCTGGAAGTCAGAGATAACACAGTGTGGAGGCGGAGGAACACAGCAGGCCAGGCACCATCAAAGAGGCAGGAAAGCAGACATTTCGGGTCAGGACCCTTGTTACATTTATACTTATTTACTATAATACAGAATTAATCAAGTTCTGTTATACACTTTACTGAACTGTATTTGCCACATCCTATAGCATAATCAGTTGAACATATCAGCCGGTACTAATTACTAATGAAAATTGGAACTTTATCACCATTCCTTCACTGTGACTGATTAAAATTCTGGAATGCCCTCCTACATGGATCAAAAGGATCAACACCATCACTTCAATGGTGTAAAGACACACAAAGCAATTCTGAAAATGAAGTGCTTCAAAAGGAGAATACCAATATCTGGAGAGAGGAAAAAAAGTTTAACACTTCATAGGAAACACATTTGTCATGATATTCAGTACCTGAAACATCCTGCCTGTCTTCTGTTATGATTTCCCATTTATGTTATATAGGATTTTTTTTGCCATGATTTTTGCTCTAAATATAAAGAGCCCAGTGTTGACAACTTTGGTAACCAGGGCTGGATTGTTACAAGTGATGGCAATTCTGTGGTTAAACACTGACTGTTACAAGTACTGACTAGTAAAGCAACATGTGAGAGTACTGATAGCTTAATAACAGCAACGATTTAAGAAAGCAGCTCCTCAATGTTATTCGGAGTTGGACAATAAATGCTGGCCTTGCCAGACACCCATGATGTATCATTACATTGATCGCAGGCCTTGCACGTTTAAGACAGTTCGATAATATTAGGACATGTGGCGGCATTCCAGAATAAAGGGATCCACTTCACCTTCAGAAATGGTAGCAGTAGCAATAGTAAGAGCCTGTTTGCAGTTACCGTATCTTTGCTCGGTGTAGTCAGTAAGCACAAAACCCAGACTGTGTGCAGGTCTGAGATCTTAGAGGAATGTAAATAGTTAGTGTTGTTAATAAACTTCAAGCCATCGGTGTTAACACACAAACCCAGCCTTTGTAGAATATGTTACGGGGCTAATGTATCAGAGTCCATTGAGTTTGTACCACTAAAAATATACTGAATCTGCACTAGGCCCATAGCCTTGGCTGTTATGGCACTTCGAGGGCTCATCCAAGTACTTTTTAAAGCTGAGAGGTTACACGCATCAACCATCCTCACAGGCAGTGCATTCCAGACCACTACTACCTGTTGGGCATAAAACATTTTCCTCAAATCCTCACTAAACCTCCTGCCTTTCATCTGAAAGTTATACCCCTGGGTTATTAACCCTTCAATTACTTTCTATCTAACCTGGCTCATAATCATATATACCTCTCTAACAGGTCCCCCTCAACCTTCCGTGCTCTGAAGAAAATAACCCAAGGGTATCCAGCCTCTCTTTGTAGCAAAGATGTTCCATCCCAGGCAACATCCTGGTGAATCACCTCTGCACCCTTTCCATATAGGGAACTCTCAGACTATATCATAATGGCAGCGATAGTTAACTAGAAACTACATCAAACAACATGCGTAGAATGCCTTAATATGAATTTTAAAAACTCAATTTTAATATGTATTCAGCAAAAAGCAGAGAGCAGGGGAACCATCCGTCCACAGCACTACTCACTGTGCTAATAGAGTAACCAAGCTAGAGTGTGAGACCAATTCTCATTGAATATTTGCAATCTGGCTAATTTAGGTCTCTTCAAAATTTCAAAACTACATATTATGGTGAAAACTGTTTTGTTTTAACACAGGGCTGCTCTACAGGTCAGCATCTGGAATAGTCAGTACTTACCCGCAGCATTACCATCACTTGTAACAATATCATGTCCAAACTCTTGTTACCTGAATCCACAACATCAAGCTCTTTACTGTTGGAACAACAATCACGGCAAAGGAACATGACTGCAACTAATGCAAAGCTGGAAGAAAAACAGAGAACACCGGCAAGACGTAATATTCGATCTGTCAGCATCGGTTAACAGAGAAAAGAAAGAGACATTTATGTTTCAGGTACTGACTACCCTGACAATGGAACTCACCATAAAGTGTTGACCTTTCTTTCCTTTCCTCAGATGTTGGGTTCCCCTTTGGGAATACTGTTTTCAAGCAAATTATTTTGTTTTGTCCATATTTAGACTGTTGAAGTGATGGTATTTACCCTTCTGAACCATTGCTGTACATCTGTTCCTCTTTGCCCTACACCACTGTTTCCTGTATCATGGCTCTCAGGAAATTAGTAACTTACTATCTCTATGATTATTTGGTTGCATTGTTGCCCCACTCCCATCTCTTCAAGTGAGTATTTTTTTTTAAATTGCATTGACAGGATTTGAGATATCCCGAAGCATCAGTGAAATCATGTTGTGGCTGTACAGGATATTGGTTAGGCCACTTTTGGAATGTTGCATTCAATTCTGGTAACCTTGCTATAGAAAAATGTTGTGAAACTTGAAAGGGTTCAGAAAATATTTACAAGTACATTGCCACGGTTGGAGGGTTTGACCTATAGGGAGAGGCTGAATAGGCTCGGAATATTTTCCCTGGAGCATTGGAGGCTGAGGTGTGACCTTATAGAAGTTTACAAAATTATGAAGGTCATGGGTAGGGTGAATAGTCAAGGTCTTTTCCAGAGGGTAGGGGAGTCCAAAATTAGACAGCACTGATTTAAGGTGAGAGGGGAAAGATGTAAAAGGAACCCAAGGGGCAACTTTTTCACACAGAGAGTGGTGTGTGTATGGAATGAACTCCCAGAGGAATTGGTGGAGGCTAGTATAATTACAATATTTAAAAGGCATCTGGATGGGGAGATGAATTGGAAAGGTTTAGAGAAATATGGACCAAATGCTGGCAAAATGGGACTAGATTAATTTAGAATATCCAGTCGGAATGGATGTGTTGGCCCGCAGGGTCTGCTTCTGTGCTGTACATCTCTATGACTCTATGACTCTAAGTACTTTAGAAGTGTTGTATTGTAAGAAACGCAACAGCTAATTTATACAAGGCTAGACCCCACAAACAGCAAACCGCTAGTGGCCCAATAATTTGTTTTAGTGAACTGAAGGATAAGTATCGGCCAGGCTTGTGGAGAGCTCACCTCATCTTCTTCAATATAATGTCAAGGGATCTGTCAAATCCATCACAGAGGGAAAAAGATCTTCCCAGACATGCTTTGTAACCCACAATGTCAGGATCCAATGGGGGAGGGGGCAACGGTGTGTGTTAAAAGTCAAGATTTTCCCTGTGTTGGGTAATTAGTGAGCAGAGGACAGGCTCACTTTCTCAATAAATGAGGTTGGGTGGACTCTTAATGCTGGAGAACCAACAGAATACCCTGCACCACTAAGGACCAGCAAGCTGCCATCTTTTTTCAGGGTCAGAGAGAAAAGGTGCCTCGGCATGGAGTAGCCCTACATTTTGAGAAATTTTAAATTAAAACAAAAACCCTCCACTAGGCAGCTCACAGCAGTGACCAAGCAAGTAGTAGTGCTGGCGGTAGTGAGAGGGAGGTGCCTCAAAACCTGGAGAGGTGGCTCCCACACTTTACCACTGGAGGGCAGTCTCCAGACAGCCTATCTGTTCCCCAATGTCACTCAGTAGAAAGTGACTGGTGAATTCCAGCCAGCCAAAGGCCATTAAACAGAGGAGCAGAAGTGGGTAATTCAGCCCATCAAGTCTGCTCTGCCTTTCAATGAATTCATGGCTGATCTGATAACCCTCAACTCCATATTCCTGTCTTTTCCCCATAACTCCCAATTCCCTTACAGATTAAAAAATCTGTTCAAGGCCAAGATAGACATACTTAATGACCCAGCTTCTGCAGCCCTGTGTGGTAAAGAATTCCAGATTCACTACCCTCTGAAAAGAAGAAATTCCTCCTCATCCCAGTCTTCTGACAAAGGACCTTAATTGGTCTTCAAATCATAAATATCCTCTCCTTGCAAATGCTGGGGTTTTGGATGTATGTCTCATCTGAAAGGTGGCACCTTGCATTAGTGAGGGAGAGCTACACGAATCAATGAGTGGTCTAGATTCTGTGTTCCAGTTTTTGGACTGAACAGTGCAACTCTTCCCCACTGACACAAAGAACGTTTACATGTCAAACATGCAAAGCATGTTTTTGGTGCAGTTTGAAAAAAAAAACTTCAGCTCCATTCCATATTAAAAATGCAATCATCACAGAACACGGTTATTGCAACGGAGCTTATTCAAATAATAAAGCTCTCTGAATGTGCTGTACTCTATATGGGAGTTAGCTCAGCAGATTTTAACAAACAAAAAAAAAAAAGAGTCCATGAGTGAAACCCGGACATGGGGTGATGGTCTGATAGTTATGGCCAATCGACTGTCAGGGTTTTACACTGGCAATCGGTGGTTTGGGAGCTGGGTCAGCATTCACTGTCTCAAGTCAGCATTAATTAAGCCCCTCTCTCCTACCAACACACTCACTAACTGGCTTGAAGAGAAAACCAGCAGCACTCTGTGCAAAGCCGGAAAGCTGACATAGGGAATAACCATTGCTGAGAAACAGGTCCTGGTGGGTGGGGGCAAAGATTTTAACGGGGTGGCTGTTAGAAGTTCAACAACCATTTATTTT